ACCCCCTGCGTCAGGATGAAGATGGGAAGTCTGAATTAAAGGCAGCATGAGAGGGCAGACAGGAAGTGGGGAAGAGAACTAGAATCACTGGGTGGGGAGAAACAAAACGGGAGCTATGTGAGTGGGATTGGGGTATGTGAATGGAGTTGGCTTGGGAACTCATGTGAATGGAATTGGCATGGGAACTCATGTTATCCTAACATTAAAACTCTTTTTTTGAGACAGGGTCTCACTCTGTCACCCGGGCTGGAGTGCAGTGGCCTGATCATGGCTCATGGCATCCTTAACCTTCTGGGCTCAGGTGATCCTCCCACTTCAGCCTCCTGAGTAACTGGGACCACAGGTGTGTGCTACTATGCCTGGCTCATTGTTTTTCTTTCTTTCTTTCTTTCTTTTTTTTTTTTTGAGACAGAGGCTTGCCGTGTTGTCCAGGCTGGTCTCAGACTCCTGGGCTAAAGTGATCTGCCTGCCTCAGTCTCCCAAAATGCTGGGATCACAAGCGTGAACCACCGCGTCTGGTCATTACCCTAACATTTTATTATGAACATTTTCACACATAGAGAAAATCCATCCCTCTATTCATTTATCAATCTATGTAAGTTGCAGATGTTAGCACATTTCTATGTCCATATAATTAAGTAGAATTCAATGCTGGTTTATTATTCTTTATTCTTTATTATTCTTTCTTAGGAAAAATTCACCTACAGTGAAAGCACAGATCTTAACTGTACCCTTTGATGAGCTGAAAAATGCTTTTACTTCAAACACCTATCAAGACAGAAAACACTGCCCTCTCCTTGGAAAGTATCCCATGCCCCTTCCCAGTCAAACTCCGTCTCCACCGTACCCTCACAGGCAATCTCCATTCTGATTTTTTTAAACCATAAATTAGTTTAGCCTGTTGAAGAACTTCACATAAACGGAATCATACAGCATGTGCTACTCCTTTCATTCCACACAATGTCTGTGTAAGTCATTCATGCTGTTGCTTGTAGTATAAGTAGTTTATAACATTTCATTGCTTAGTAGTACTCTACTGTATAAAATACTACAATGTATTGGCCGGGCGCGATGGTTCACGCCTGTAATCCCAGCACTTTGGGAGGCCTAGGCGGGCGGATTACGAGGTCAAGAGATTGAGACCATCCTGGCTAACACGGTGAAACCCCGTCTTTACTAAAAACTACAAAAATTAGCCGGGTGCAGTGGTGGGCACCTGTAATGCCAGCTACTTAGGAGGCTGAGGCAGGAGAATTGCTTGAACCTGGGAGGCAGAGCTCACTGAGCAAAGACGGTGCAACCGCACTCCAGCCTGGGCAACAGAGTGAGACTCTGTCTCAAAACAAAACAAAACAAAACAAAAACAAAACAAAACAAAACAAAAAAACATGCATTTCACAACAAAACCTCTCACTCAGGTTCCCCTCTCTCTCTGCAGGAGAGACAGCTATTCTCTTTTCTCTTTCTTTCCCCTATTAAACCTCCTCTTTCTTTCTTTCTTTCTTTCTCTTTCTTTCTTTCTTTCTTTCTTTCTTTTTTATTACCTTTAATAAAGATAATAACATTTTACTGGTAAGGATCCGAGAAGGAGTCTGGATACCTGTTTCCCTCAATAGAACTTGGGAGGCCTCTCCCTTCATACATATTATCACTGAAGTACTAAAAGGAATACTTAATAGATCAAAGAGATTCATATTTACTTTAATAGCTGTGATCATAGAGCTTATAGCTATCACAGCTACTGCTGCTGCTGGTGATGTTGCTTTGCACTCTTCTATAGGCAGGCTGGAGTGCAGTGGTGCGACCTCAGCTCACTGCAACCTCTGCCACCTGGGTTCAAGCGATTCTCTTGTCTAAGCCTCCCGAATAGCTGGGATTACAAGTGCATGCCTCCTTACCCAGCTAATTTTTGTATTTTTAGTAAAGACTGGGTTTCACCATGTTGGCCAGAATGGTCTCTATCTCCTGACCTTGTGATCCGCCCCCATCGGCCTCCCAAAGTGCTGGGATTACAGGTGTGAGCCACTGTGACCGGCCTAAACCTCCACTCTCGAACTCCACTCTCAAAGTCTCTTTTTGTGTGTCCATGTCCTCGATTCACTTGGTGTGAGACAACGAACATGGGGTATTTGCCCCAGACAATGATGCTGCTTCAAAAGCATATCTGTTTTCAGAAAACAAAATTTCCCTTTTATGTTAAAACTAATTCATTAACAATATAAAAA